CGTACAATTAGCATATTTATTTATTAGAAACGTTTGTTTCAATTATACGTGTTTTAAATAAAAACCTGGTACTATATATCTAAACGAGAATACATTTATACGTATATTTAGCATTTCTATAAAAATCATCTTAAGGAATATTTTATGTCTTTTTTATAAAATTAAAAATCGATTTTATTTTTCTTACAGAGTTTAACATTTTAAAATGCATTTTAAAACCGACGTAAAGATTTATTCGTGAAAATAGCATATTAGTTTATTAGAAAACGTTTGTCCGAATACACTGTTTTAATATTACTTTATGTACATATTTTTTTCTATACTCTATTTTTTACTGTACTCAAATGTTTTTTTTACACCCAAAAAAAATTTTCAATTTTTCCAACTTATCATACTAAAATGATTACATAATAAAAGAATAAACGTTTATTATAAAAACGTTCAAAAAACATTTTTCATAAATAAATATGTTAAATACACGCATAAATGTATTTTCGTTTAAATAGTAATATACGTATAATAGCAAGCTCTAGTTCTATGACCATTAGCACATTATTTTTTTTTGTATTCATTGTACGTATATAGAAAAATACAGATTTATTTCATTCATTCGTTTGTTTTCAAGCACGATGTCTTCTTCTTCCACGGCCTCATGCCAAGGTACCAGTAACGAAAGCATCACGATGGACTACAAAATACCTGTCGACTTGTCGATGTCTTATTTGCGAGCAATTCAAAAGATACCGGGAGATACCGCCGGTGAGAAGTTTAGTTGGATAGGAAGATTGGCTTTGCATCAAACCAGCGAAGATGTTGAACAATTTCCGCCAGAATTGCTACCTCTACTTCACGTGGAAACCGCCGTCAAGAAAAAGAGGCATAAGGACATAACGTCAGCGCTCAAAAGTGACGACTTGACAATAATAAACCGGGCTTTTAAGGCCACTTGGTTTTTCGATGGCAGCTACAAGGAGATCGTCAACGTCGCATACTTCTGCGAACATCTCTTTCCGTACGTTTCCGTAAAGACGAGAATGCGTATCGTGAAGACACTCGGATATAAATTGAAGGATCCGGTTTTTGCACAGCAAATGTTCATAGCAGTGGAGTCTATTTATGACTTTCAAACCGCTTACCCATTGTTCCTGGCTTGTGATACGACTTTTGCTTATGACACGATCGTAAAAAAAGGATTCGTGCTGCCTGCACATTTTGTTAAACATATATTCCGCAAAAATCTGGATTTGGCAGTGCGTTTTCTCAAATTATTCTCTAATTCTGATGAACGCACTCCATTCCCGAATAACGTCGCTACATATGAATCTTTACTGCCCAAATTAATAAAGAAGCGACCGGAAGATTTTGTAGAGCTATTTGAGGCTCATGAATCGAGTATTATAAGACCTTATTATAATAAACCTAGTTTGAGCAACACTCGTGCTAAAATATTCTTGAAAAAGGCTAAGCAACACTTGATAAAAAAGCCGCGTACATACATCCACATGTTAAAAAAACAGATCAACGAGCATTTAATGGAAAAAATATTTCTGGATTTATTACCCGAAAAAGAATCTTTGTTCAGCACATACGAAGTGCTCGAATACTTACGATATTATCCAGATAATAAAATATACGAACTACTCCGTAAATCGTACGAGTCCAAATATGATAAATCTCTTCTTACTGAAACGAAAAATATAACGAAAGGCTTGTTAAAATTGTTACCTCTCGAGGAGCAGGTCAAACAAGCCAGAATTATGTTCGAGAAAGTGAGTTCGTATTCTTACGAGGAAAATTGGATTTGTTATTTACCTGTTAACGAAGCGATACCATATCTCAAGGAACAAATAAATAAAACTAAAGATGAAAAGGAAAGATCTGAGTTAATTGAAAAAATGATGCAAGTTTGTAAGAATAATAAGGATGACGATGCGTTATCCGATACTTTGATGTACTTCTTGAAGAGACATAAGAACGAAAACCGTAGTGTATTTGAAAGTCTATTCAGTTTTCTTAGAATATACTATCATCCACGTGATTTTAATAAAAAGCAGCTCTCCCTTATAATAGAAATTATCCAATTGTTTTACGTAAAAAATGAATTTGTATCGGAATATATGTTCCAGTTTATGGTGTATTTCAGACTTAAATACAATATGCCAATGGAAGAATTGGTCGACATTTGTATAGAACAAAATCATGAAGACTACCGCTGCCAGAAGTTGGAGCCACACGATGAAAGACAATGGCTTGTAATATTCTTAAACACAATTCAAAAAAAGGATTTTAAAGATTTTTATGAAAAAAAAAGCATACTTTTTAAAATTATCCGGACGATAGTCGGATTCAATAAAGAGTATGAGAATGAAATCAATGTAGAAAAACTGACAATTAGAGACTATCCTTGGTTAATGGACACTGTTTTCGAAATATTACGTTTTGAAGAAGGTTTTAAAAAATGTTCTCAAAAATGTCGGAATAATTATTCGGATAGTCCTAAAAATATAAGTCCTAAAAAACGTTTTAAAAAACGTTCTAAAAAACGTCCTTTATATAAGAATTCTCGTTTTTTATGTAATAATGATATGCACCATCTACTGCAGTCGCATGAAGCAGAATTATATCGCAGTTGGTTTCCATCTTGGTTTCAAGAAAATACCATATCAGAAGAAAATACCACACCTGTAAGCTTGAAAACACTTGCTTTAAAATCAGATCTACAAAATATACAGGAGAATTGGAAAGAGTATTTAAAAGTCACCATGGAAAATTATCATTGCAAACAGGTGCATCACTTCATCAGGAGTATGCGTTGGTACAAAGACCTACCCATTAAATTTGCCGAACATTGCAAGGATTATATACACGACAAATGCGAAGATAAAATATCGTCTAGCATTACTATCTTAGCCATTTTACTTCACGGTGAGGCAGTGACAAAGTTAATCGATTCTTTCGTACCCACAGAAATGAAGGTAGATACTAGTCATCCAAACGCTAAGGATAATTACAAGATGGTGAAAAATTTACCATTGAGCATGAGACTTTCCAATCCGCCAATTCATCTTGACCTCATAATTAGATTGTGCGTAGGAGATTACTTGTCAATAGCTTTGATGATACTAACAAACGTAAGTAGACGAACTCCTATGTCCAAAGTAATATCATGCGTGAAGAAGTTAACGGATATGCGCGTGAGTGTACAAAAGCATGGGATTAGGCTAATATCCTTAACATCTGTCGCGCAACAACTTGATCTCTATCAAAAAATGTTGCCGACCGATCATTATTCAATACAACAAGTTTTGTTCGAAGCAATCCAACGACTGTTCTTTTCAAATCCAAAACCCGAAACTTGGTCTTTATATTGTCAAGCTGTGTCATCGGTGAATCCTACTGATTCTACTGAAAAAAACACAGATACATTACTTGTCCTAGATATAATATTGAAAATGATAAAGGATGTATTTGAACATAACGCGTTACATATAAACAAACCTTATTATGTAAGAAATCACAAGTTCATATTCATTCCCAATGAATACATTAAAAAATCTTTCGATCTATGGTCGAAAATAATGGACAAGTTTTATAAAATGGAACCGATGAAGATAAAAAATTGTACTATCGAGTTATTGAAAAATCTTTTCAAAACAAATATTTTTAATGTTTTACCTGAAGAATTGCTGAAGAATTTGATCAAAAGCATAATTCGAAGATATGTATTTCATTGTGATTTTGATGTGTGTAAAATAGCGATGTCTTTTATAATACCGTATCTTTTGCAGAGTAAAGATAAATACATAACATACTTTAAAGTACTCACCGATGGCTTTCGTGAAGCAAACACAGTGACCACTTATTGTACTTATTGTGACAAGTCTCAACCTCTTAAAAAATATGATTGTCAAGTCAACAAAATTATGTATTCATTCATAGATATTTTCATTAGTCATGTTCGCGAATATATTCGCTCTAATACATCCATTAATCCACAAATCATCGACAATTTGCAAATTTTATTTTCATCTATCTTGTCACCTGAACAAGATGCGAAGTCTTATTTGCGATTAGTATATATGAAGAAATTTCAAGAAGTTTGCAATGAATCTTCAAGGATGAAAGCTTTTGGCTTGAAAATTGGTCAGCACTTGCCTGAATTAGTCGATATTTTCTCGCCACTATTAATCTCGTTAATGGCCGAAATTCTCGAGAACTTTGTTGAAAGGATATTTGTGCGTACCGATAATTATGTAAACGATATTATTAGCATCATAGAAGGTCTTACTGAAATTGGTAATACATATTCCTATTTTATGGCTGTAAATATGTTATCGTCGATTCTGTATTCGAAAAACAAAAATATGACAAGATACTGTCAACTCATTAAAAAATTCCAAGAAATGCAGGAGCCTGCTATCAAGACTGTTTTATACAAACATTTTTTGAGATCATCATTTTTTCAACATTGATTAAAAAAATGATACAAATCAAAGAAACTAAAGATCATAGCGAGTGAATTTATATACATATGTATTTCCAGCAATATTATCAATGTTTTGTTATTATTTATTGTTTAATTGATCATTGAATTGCAAGTGTAATTTTATATAGTGTATGTTAAACTGTTAATGCGCAAATCTTTTTTAATGAAATGCTCGCGAATTGTTATAAATATTTTATACCTTTTATTTAGAGGGATGCCTAAAGTTTTTCAATAGACATTTAAAATATTTCTCGAAGAAAAATAAATGCATATTATAATTTAAAAGTCATACGAGCTAAATATTGTATAATAAAAATGTGCGTATTTATAAATTTTTTTGTAGCAATTATATATAAGTAAAAGCACAACGTGAGTTATTGCTCTGTCAGACCTGTCCAGTTTCCAAGACTTCTCATTAGAGTTAATTTTATCTAAGACTTCTATCCAGTTATTCTGGGGATACTTACTATCTAACAAAATAATGAAAAACTAGCCAATTTTTAGCGAGTCAATTTTTCTCTGATATTTTTCTACTTAAATAACGCATCCATTATGGATAGCAGAATCGAAATACACATGCAGGAAGGAAAGTTAATTGGCATCATAGATAAAGATATTTATGATAATTATTACATAGACTTTCGAGGAATGCCATATGCGAAACCACCGATTGAAAAACTTAGATTTAAAGTAAGTAAATACAATTCATGTATATATTTAAAAAAAATTAACTCTTTGAAAAATTACAATTAATCGATCATAAAGCTGTTTAGTATTTGTTATTTCGTAATTATTATATAATCTGCTTTTCATTTATTAATATACATTATCAAAAAATCCAGAAATACTAAAATATCTCGAATACGATTGACTATAGCAAAGAACATAAGAGTAAAGTTGTGGGACTAAATAAAATATCGTTAACAGAGTTGCAATTGCATAATGAAAGTCAAATTGAATTTTTTTTTACGGAATCTCTCATTTTTATTGCACATTCTTGAAGCTTATTTTGAGAGCTTTCTAGAACACTACAATAAATCTTATATGAAAAAGAAATAGCAAAATGGACATCGTCAAATTTATGCAAAACTTAAAGCACTAATTCGTTAGCTATAAACGTTAATTGTTTATTTAAGAATTACTTAAATACAATTTATACATACAAACAAGTTGTTTCTTAACACAAAAAAATCACATCATGCGTATATGCGATTTTTAGGATCCGATACCAACAAAATCATGGTCCGGTAAAAGAAACGCTTCGAAATATGGAAACAACACCGTTCAAATAAATAATCTTATACAAATTGAAATTGAGGGCAGTGAAGATTGCCTTTATTTAAACGTGTACACCACGAATATCAAATCTTCGTAGAAACGTGCGGTAATGGTGTGTGGATACATGATAGTGTTTTTTGTCAGAGTTCTGGTAATGCAGTCGTGTACGGTCCCGATTATCGTACAGAAAGATGTAGTTTTGCTTACCTTGAATTATAAACTAGGCGTTCTAGGTACGTCATTTGTTTCATTATGTATCATTGTACACACATTTGTGTTTAATATTTTGATATAGTGATTATTCAGATGTCTTCTGTTTGAAATAAATTACTTAGACGTAGTTCAAATAAGTTAATTAAAACAAAAAAATTAATTCATATCTAGCTGTTCATAGTATGTCATTACGAACATCTATGTGTGTGTTTGTTATTTATTTTTATTTATTTTTCTCAACAGACAGATTAGTTTAGATCGGTATGACTCGTTCAACCGTCGCGACGTAAGGTGCAACCCACGTGCACACCGTGACATTCCAATCGTGACTTGCAATCTGCATTCGTAACTTCGTATCTATTCCGACCAATGCCCGATCTTTACAGTCTCCTTTTAACGGCGTACACGGGATGAATAAGAACTCGCTCGTTGAAAGCGCGATAATTGCAATAACCGTTAGCTCATGTTTATATAATTGTGGACTTTTAAAGCAAATACGTTACTAGTATAAACTCTGGGCTTGTATCACTGTTTGTTGGCCAAACAGAAAGAAATATAATTTTCCAACATCACAGATTTAATCGTTTATAAGAAGAAGCAACGTTTGTGTATTATTCATAAATCAGTGATCGTTAAATTAAAAGGTTGATAAAAGTTCTTTCCTTCCGAATGAAAGAAAGAAAGACGTCATGTTACGCGTCATGCAATTCTGTTTGATTTTTTGCAGCAACTAATTACACTGAGGGAAAAATGTTTAGTATTTGTGACTGTAATTACTATAGTTACTATAATTATGATTATTACTGCAATGTTAGTAATAATATAATTATATAATAATTGTATACGTTCTATAAATCATTAGGGCTGCGTTCGGAAACATCACCCAACATATCATCTTATCCTTATTGTTCATCCAATGTTAAACAAGAATAAGACGATACACGGGGGTATCCAGGTGGTTTTTAAACATAACTTAGGTGAAGCAATTTTTTTACCTCCTGTTGTACATACATATATTTTCGAAAAGAGCATAAAATTATGAATTCTGATGACACACATACATGGAGATTTTTAAATAAATATCTAGTAATAAAAAATCGAAAGAGTCGTTTCTTTCATCAATATATATATATATATATAAAATGATATCATAACTAATAATAATAAATATACATGTAAGAATAATTACAATTTGTAATTATTTTCAGTGATAACTATATATGTACATTTGATAGAATTACAAATAGTTATTATTACTAACATTATAATAATAATAACCGTAATAACGGTAACATAAAATTATAATCACAAATATAAAAAAAATTTCTTTTAATATATATTTAATTTATTTTTTGTACGGTGAAAAAGATAGAAAATCTATTCGGCACTACCGCTACTTACTGCGCTCGAGTTTAAATAATTCCACTGATAAAAATTGCTGATGCATGCCATCGCAATGGCTCTTCTTACGTAGATAATCAGTTGTGTATTGGTGATATTGAATTCGCGATGCACCCGTGATCGCGTGCCGGCAAACGCGGATTTCGCGATGCACGAAACGAGAAGAATCGACGAAAATGCGGAACGATATCGTCTCGCAGTACCTGTAAAATGTGTTTGATCGATGGAAGAGCGGGCGTTACGTTAGTCTCTCGGAAGCCAAATTAATCGACTTTACAAAATAAAAAAGAAGAGAAAATCGTTGAAGTTACAAGCTAAACGCATGCTACGGTGATTGAATCGAGAATTTATTTAACAAATCGGAATTGGCTTCTGAAAGATGCTCATCTCGAAATCGAAACGAAAGGATCTGTCCACGGAATAAATCGGGGTTCTCTTCTAACCCCCTTCCCCACCCCCATCACCCTTCTCCCCCCGACGTGATGCCACACAAAAGACTCACTGAACCGCGACACGAGCGAAAATGTGTCATTACCGTGCAAATTACGATGCCGGCGCTTCCATACGCATCCTGCGTCTCCCTCTCCTCCCCAACTCCCCTCCTCCCCCCGATATAATTGCCGTGAATTAGCGTCGATCAATGGACAGCCTGTGGAGAGATGTCGATGGTATATCGCGGGGACTTGTGACTACTAACACTGCAATCGCATTTCTCGGAGCGTAAATTACATGGGGGGGTTTTGGAAGAGCTAAAAATATACTCTCTAAACAGTGCGGATTCAGAAAATAGGATTCCTCCAATATTTATTACGATTATTATAAGATTATAAAGAAGTAATTTGCGCAGCCAGCTTCCCTGCCTGTTGTTTGATGCAATCAGTATATGCTAATATCGCTAGGATCAACTTAAATTAATTGAACCCTCACTTTGAAAAAAAATCTACAGACTGCGTTGGATTTCAGTATAGAAATTTGATTTTCACCTCGTAAATTATTTTTTACTTCGTGCATTTTGAAATTGTACAGTTAAATATGAACTTGTGTACAGTAAAGGATTGGCAAGCAAATCATTGTATAAATAAGAGTTAAAGTTTAACTAATAAAACGTCTACTTGTTAGATCGTACTCTTAAAACGACAATTATATTAAGACTTGTCACAGTTAAGAGCCACGGTGTGCAGGCTTCCATGATTTTTCTGTGAAATTATTTCAATTACTAGTGTTGGATGACATGGAACTTAGAACTGCTAGTATAGTAATTTACTTAAAACGCGCGCAATTTAGTAGGAAGACGTACATCGTGTGCCGTAGGCTTTATATAATTTTCACCTCGTTTCAAGGTACACAATCGTGCTAAGCGTGCTCGGTTGATCTCATTCGGCTCATTCATCGCGTAATTCGCGGGGCAGGCACGAAGCTTTAATCGATCGTCCCCGATTCCGCCGGGAATGCGAGCCACCGCGTGAATTACAGCGTCGGGCGCGGACCCCGGAACAGAAGTGTAGTAATCCTTGACGGCACGTGGCAGCCCGGCTCACGGCTGATTTTATGTATGTATACGCGAAGATCGAAAAGTACTCACTTTGACAGCTGGCAACTCCCAGAAGGACGATTAGCAGGAGGGTCCCCGTCGACTCCATTTTCCACGTAGGTTGTTTCCGCAGCTGTCACAGCACACTTATTAAGGTTACTTCGCTCTCGCAAGAAGAATTTCCAAATCACTCGGAGAATCACGGCGATCGTCCTCCTCCGATGAAACGAAGTTTCATGAAAACTCGTCGGGACTCGGAAAGAACGAGAGTTACGCGAGAAAAGGAAGTCCTCGGTTCGCGGTGTCCCACTTCCTGTTTCCCCCCACCTTTTTTATTCTCTTTCCGTCTTCGCGAGACGAAACGGAGCGTGGCAGGCACTTTTCGCGTTAATTTCACCATGCAGAGGCGAGCGAAGATAACCGTTCCACGGCTCCCGGCCGGTCACGCTGGGTTTCCCTCGATAACGGCACGACGACGACCGCCGCGTGCGGATTGTCTCTCTCTCTCTTCTCGGAAAAAAAAATAAGAGGTCGAGGGTGAGAGTGGAAACTCACCCCTCTACTTTGAGATTTCTATCGCCGGCGTGTGGAGGACTAGGGAGAACCCGGCGATGTTCCTTCGACTCATGCGTGCGGACGATTGTGACGACTAACTCTTTCGCGAGAGGGTTAATAAACACGCGCGGAAAAATTGGCTGACAACCAGACGACACTGACCAGTGTCGTCGGTTTGATATATAACGTAGGACGACGTGAAAGCGACCGCGCGACACAGCGGCTCACAGACGAATGCCATCGAGAGGCGAGAGAGCGCCGGTCTTCCGAGTTCCGCGTCAGCATATAGGTGCGCGTCCGTAAGCTTCCCCCTCCACGCCCCCTCCTTCCGCCACGCCGCGCCGGCCGGCGCCGCAGTCTCCCTCCTTATCCCCACTACGTGCGTCGAGCGCGCGTGCGGTCGACGCATCAATTACGTTTGAATCAGAGCCGACACACACGACTTAGTTTTGGGTCTCGAAAAATTTTGCTTGGCCGGGAACATTCCCTTTCTCTCTGATTATACAATGTGAGTTTCGAAAAAAAGTTTTTTTTAGGAAATAATACTTACATTTTTACAGTGGATTTATTTCTTGAGTCTTGAAAAATTGTTCATGCATGAATATGTATAAACATACATAAACATGCATAAATATTCATAAACATGTATAATTATATATCAAATATGTCCATACATGTTTGTACATTCTTCTTTCTTTTGTAAAATTACTATTTAGTAATAGGAATAATAATAGTAACGTGAAAACATATAATTAAAGGGATAATTTTTGCATTGTTTGTTTTAGAAAAAAACAAATTTGAAAAAATGTAAAAAAATCGTTTATAATTATGCATAATTTTATATATAATTATACATAAATAATTTTTTTACATCTCTTCAAACTTGATTTTTTTTCTAAAACAAATAGTACGAAAATTATCATTTTAATTACTTTTAATGTTTTCACGTTACTATTATTATTTCTGTTACACTAAAAAGTAATTTTATAAAAGAAAAAAGAATGTATGAACATGTATGGACATATTTCATATATAATTATACCTGTTTATGAATATTTATATATATTTATTTATATATTTATGCATGAAAAATTTTTTATTGAATTGAATTGAAAATTATTGAAAGAGTTATCTAAAAAGATATTATTTATGAACAGAGATCGATAAAATATATATTTTAAATAGTATTATTTTAAATATGATCGACTTTTAGAGATATGGTAAATTATACATTTAAAAGAAATAATATTTGAACACAATCGACTTTTGATTATAATTATAGTCCTAAGTAATTATACGGTTCTTAAAATACTTAGATTATTATTAATATCTTTCTAAGATATTACGTATTAAATTGACGAGCAATATAATAATTGTCATATTAATTAGCATCAAAA